TACGCAGTAAGCAGGAGTGCTATCAGGCCTGGGCTGAGACTTCGGCGGCTCGGGATGTAAACACCAGCATGCTTAAAAAGAAGTATAACTTCGCCTCCAGGTCCTTCAAAAGAGTTATTGCAGAGGCAAAGTCAGAGCACATAAGCAGAATTGGCGAGAAACTAGTTCGCCTTCCTTCGGGAACCCGTGCATTCTGGTCTCTCGCCAAGGCTGTCCAAGGGAATTTCTGTAAGCCTTCACTAACCATCTCTGCACAGGGAGGACGACTCACTGGCCCACACCGCAAAAGAGAAAGCCGACCTTTTAGGCGCCCTTTTTGAGTACAACTCGATTCTTGGTGACGGGGGGGAACACACCGCCGACCATCCCGCGGTGTGAGTGCTCCATGCCGGATGTGCGCTTCTCACAGCGATCGGTCCGCAAAGCACTCTTCTCCCTGGATATCCACAAGTCGAGTGGGTCTGACGGAATCCTCCCAATCGTGCTGAGGACGTGTGCTCCGGAGTTGGCACCGGTTCTAACACGTCTTTTCCGGTACTCTTACTCCCTAGGCGTAGTCCCGAAATCATGGAAGAGAGCTTTTGTCCACCCGATCCCTAAAAAAGACGACCGGTCAGACCCGTCCAACTACAGGCCTATTGCCATCCCCCCTTGTTCTCCAAAATCATGGAATCCGTTATAAACTGCCACCTCATGCGGTACCTTGAGGATCACCAGCTGATTATTATTCTGTTTCTGTTTAATTAGTGACCGCCAATACGGTTTTCATCGGAGTCGATCAGCTCTGGTGATCTTCTGATCTCCTTGACTCGTAGATGGGCGGAGGCAGTAGAGTTCAAGGGGGAGGCATTGGCCGTTAGTTTGGACATTGCGAAGGCCTTCGATCGGGTTTAGCACAAAGCGCTTCTTTCGAAGCTCCCTTCCTATGGGCTTCGCGAGAAATTGTGCAATTGGATCACCAGCTTCCTTGCAGATCGGAACATCAAGGTCGTTGTAGACGGTGCATGCTCCGACTACAAGCCTCTTAACGCTGGTGTTCCACAAGGCTGCGTGCTATCACCAACGCTGTTTCTTCAGCATATCAATGATATGTTGCAACTACACGACAGCACTAGTGCTGCTCTATACACCGGTAGAGCCAATATTTCTCGGGAAAACGTCGTCGAGTACCGGAACAAACTTGTGTCTGAAGTCGAGTCTTTGCTGAACAAAGTCTCGGATTGGGGGCGACTAAATCTAGTCCAGTTTAATCCTCAGAAGTCACAAGTTTGTGTGTTTACCGCTAAAAAGAACCCTTTTGACGTATCTCCTCAGTTTCAAGGCAATCCCCTTGTTACCTCAGCCAGTATCGGAATCCTCGGCGTCGACATATTGAGTGACGTGCAGTTTCGTGGTCACTTGGAAGAGAGGGCCAAATGGGCCATTAAAAATCTTGGCGTGCTCAGCAGAGCGGGACAGTATTTCATGCCGACACAACGCCTGCAACTTTACAAGGCGCAGGTTCGGCTTCACATGGAATACTGTTCCCATCTCTGGGCTGGGGCTCCCCAGTGCCAGCTCCTTCCACTTGACCGCATCCAGCGCAGAGCGGCTCGAATCGTCGATGACCGAATCCTTTCCGATCGGCTCGATTCAATGGCGGTGCGAAGAGATATTGCATCTCTTTGCATTTTCTTTCGCATTTACCACGGGGAGTGCTCTGAGGAATTTATTCGGATTAATCCCAGCCGCCAAATTTCACGAACGCACATTGCGGCAGAACTCCCGATACCATCCACACCATCTGGATGATTGGCGGTCCACCACTGTGCGATTTAGAAGAAGTTTTCTTCCTCGCACAACTTCCTTGTGGAATAGTTTACCACCAGCGATTTTTCCGGACCGATAAGATTTAGGGACCTTCATGAAAAGAGCCTACTCCTTTTTAAAAGACCGGCAACGAATCTGCAATTCCCCTGGTTCCCCTGGTGTTGCTTTTGTTCATGGGCGGCGGTAGTCACTTACCATCAGGTGAGCCGCATGCTCGTTTGCCCCCTCTCCTATAAAAAAAGAAACTTTTTTGTCTTTATGGATTTTAGATATTTCCACGCATTGTTGTATGTCACATAAGTAAGTTCTTAACCAGTCGTTAGCATACCTTTTATTCCATATTTTACTAATTTGTATAAGAGCAATTTGTGGTCAGCAATAAGTATTTCATTGATACAAACGGGGTTCGAACCCGAGTAGCTCGCATACTGTAAAATTTACGGCGAGTGCTTAGCGACTGACCTAATGAGTAAGAATGTATGATAATTTAAGTTCATAATTTTTGGTTTTTTGGCAATAAATATTGTTTATTTGAATGTGATGTTCATTAAGTTATGTTATGTCAATTATTCTTTACCACTTCTTCTTAGTGAGAAACTGCAGGCTTAGAGAAATCTCTACACAGCATAAAACAAAGTGGCTTTCCGCCGTCTGTACGCTTAGATCTTTTAAACTACGCAACGGATTTTGATGCGAATTTCATCAATAGACAGAATGATTTAAAAGAAAGTTCATATGTATAACACACGCACATTATATATTATATAATTCTTTTGCCCGTATGTATGTATGTAACTGAACTCCTCCTAAAAGGTTGGACCGATTTCAATGAAATTTCATGTGTGACTAAGTTGATAAGAGAATGGTTCAGATTCACAATTGCACCCGGTAGGTGGCGTTGTTGTCGAGACCCATAAATCAACCGTGCGGAGCCGGGGCGGATCGCGCATGAACATGATCTATAAGAAAACTGAATAACCTTCTCCAATGCCTTCTAACCTGAAAATAATTAAGAAGAGAATGTCCTGAGGATAATTATTCTTTCGAAATGCTTTTAAAATACAAAAGTCGACGTTGTAACGTGTATTGTGAAATGTCCTATAAGCATTATGTCCGTACATTGTTAAATTTTCAGCCACTTATAAAAAAAGAGTGAAGTTCCTCAATTCGATTGTATGTTTTTTGTATGTTTGTTACACGTTGTTACACGATATCTTTGTCAATTGTTTTTTTTTTCATTTTTATAGTCTTAGGGTGACAAGCGAGCACACAGCCCACCCACCTGATGGTAAGGCCCATAGACATCTACATCTATCCTCAATTAAGAATAAAATGCAAATGCGTTGTCACCTCTGAGAACTAAGATCAAATGCCTTGTTTCCAGTAAAAAGCGTCTCAGTTCTCTAAAATAAAAAATAAAATGTTTAATAAAAAACGTCATTTTTGATAGTAGGTAGGTTGTCTTAAAAGCGCCATCTAGATACAATTATCAAAACATATGTGGCAAATACCGCCATCTAGAGAATATTATTAAAACTTTTGTGTAGATGGCACTAATAGCGGTGTGAGACCTTCAGAATTCAAATAGTTCCTTACTGCTTCAGAAGAGGGCACTAGTTGTATATCATTCTTATTAGTATCAATTTCTTCTCAAGGGCGCCATCTATTAACTACATTTATGCTCCAACAAATATAAATGTAGTTAATAGATGGCGCCCTTGAGTGTTCACGGCGTCATCTCTTGAATTTTCTAATAACTTTTTTGTACGTATTTTTCAACACTACTAAACTAGACAACTAACTACAACTAGAGGTCGCTCATAGTACCGAAAGCTTAATAAGCGTTTATTTATTTTGATTTGTCCTGTCATTTTGGTACAAAGATTCTTTTTTGCTTGCTGACATCCGATTGAGCTTGAATTTGGCATACACTTGTAAATTCGATGCTAATGCAATAATATTATCATGGCGCTGATCTGATAATGGACCCGGATAATGGCAATAGCTTATTTTCAAATAAATTTTTAAATATTTTTTGTTTTTTGAAACTGGAATAAGCACAGAAGCTAACATTTAAATTTTATATTATTATTTCTTATGTACATTTAATAATGTTTTAAACAAGCCCTCATTTTTCATAAATAAAATAACAATGCTACAATATGAATATAAATTAGTACACTTACTTAAATTATTAAAAAAATCGTTTCACTTTATTACTAAAAAATTGTGAGAAAATGTTGTAGGGTTATCACTTTTTCGTACCAAATATAGTATATTCAAGCCCTATACGAATTCAATTATTTTTAAATCGAAATATTAATTTTGATTATTTTAAAGTTTCGGTGTATGAAATTACCAATTATATTATGGCCTTATTAATAACATCAATACACATATAGAGTTATCTGAAGTGACAATCAGCTGGCCATGTAGCTTGAAGAACAAAGATTTACAGTTACCTATGGGGAAGGTTTTCAAATGGCAGCATAGTAGGTACTGTTAAGCGAAATAGGTTCGCCCCCTCGAAATGAAGTGACGACCTGATCTGATGATATCAGTATATCATATGTATTTGAGATGATGTATTTGATGAGAAATGCAGGAATTCGATGGATGCAGGTAGGTTAGGATCGTTATTTGTGGCATTTTTGGAGGAGGCCTAGGTTCAGCAGTGGCATTGATAAATACTTCTTTATATGATAGGATTGGCAACCCTATATCAAAACTGATTCACGAGAAGGAATAGTTTAGAAACAATGTAGTCTATGTATAAACTATACGATAACGCATCATTCTCACGGTTTCCAAACGTAGCATAAAGCTAAAAGCAGTTAATTAAAGTTAAAAAGCTTTTTAATTATACCACCATTATTGAGTGGGACCCATCAACACATGTGTTCATGTATAACCATCATGACATAGGCACACCATGATGTTGAATGAATAGAGAATTAAATACCGGCCGGCACCCGGCAGTTTGCCGCAGGCTGTTGAAAAGGGAGGGTGTATATTGCGCTTCGCAATTTCGATTTCGATGTCACGTACCGTGTTATATTTTTCTTTTATAATTTGTACATACATTTCTTAAATAAAGTACGCATATTTTTTAAAAATTGAGTGCTAAATGTGATGATAAAGAAATAGTTTTGTGAAAATTACGCTGCGATTTTTAAGCGTATTTAATAGTGATGTGTTTTGAAATAAACGTTTTTGCGATCATTCTTTTGATTGTTTCATTCGTAGGTAGAGTAAGAAATGGAGGTATGATATTATATTACCTATGTTATAATGTAATTAATTAAGAGAAATGAGATGACAATGTTTTGTGTATTGCTTTAAGAACTATTGATTTTTAAAGAGATTGATTGAATTTTACTTAGCATACGTTTTTTTAATAAGTAGCTAACAAGGTGGGATGCGGGAAGTAAAGACTGTGTAAGAACCTCCGAAGGAGGCGGAGTTATAGCCGAAATAAGATTTTTTACTTTTTGGTTTTTGGCCATTTTGACCCCTTAGGCGTGTAATGAGAACTTTTTGCCACTATTCAACCATGACCCACAAAACACTCTCTACATGATTGGCTATTCAGACTGACTAGGCCTATAGTTCGAGTCACCCCCCAACTCATTTATTGTCTTTACTTGCAATAATAAATAGTTGCTTTATAAAATACAAAGTTGGTCTGTTCAAATCCTGTCAATTTTCTGGATTTATAATAATTATTTATGATGAAAGATGTTTAAAAATAATATACATAGATTATATAAAGATTAAATATTCTATGATAATACAGATAGCTAAAGCTCAGGTAGAGTTGGCTTTCCTTAAATTTCATATATGTATGTTATCGTTATAGCCTTTAAAGTCGTCTACTGAACAAAGGCCTCCCTTAAATTACCTCATAGGGGGGATATTTGCCACAGTTGCTACGTTTGGCAAGCGGGATGGCAACCGCAGTTATTTTTTTATTTAAAGTCGTTATTAACGCTGCTGCCCATCTCCTGATTTGTTTCCCCCTGTCGCCTCTTACGACACCCACGGGATGATATGGGGTAGTGGGGCATTCGAAATTCTGAGATACATGTGTTCGGCGAGGTAGAAAAGCCTTGTAAGAAAACTAGCATGGATTATATTAAATATAATTCAAAGAAATTAGCTCATTCACACTGGTGCAACTCGGAGAGCCTTTTTAATAATCCTCTCAAAAAGAAAAGAAGGTCGGAACACGGAAGTGGCACGTATCATTGGTCGTAATGGATTTGGGCTTCTGTTAGATTTGCCAAAATCGTATGATGTATACTTAAGTAACCTTTTTGTAATCGTCGGTTCTTTCCCCCAAAAACTTTTAATATAACTCTATATCCGTTCTTATGCTCGACCGGGGAAGGACCACGCTCTCACAGAATACCAGCGTAAATAGCAGCTGTTGTGCTGTGTTTCGTATGGTGAATGTAGAGAAACGGAGACCCTTTTTATTGGAAAAGAGGCATTCCATCTCAGTCCTCACGAGTGACAACGCATCTGCATTTTGATTCTTTATTGAGGATAGATGTAGATGTCTATGGGTCACAGCAACCACTTACCATCAGGTGGACTGTGTGCTTGTTTGTCACCCTTATCTTAAAAAAAACCACTCTACTTCCTGACACTCACGGTCTGATGGGACGGTAATCCGATATGGCCGGAGAGAGATCAGGCGCAGGACTAACGTCTTTACCTGCTTTTGAAGGTATAGGATAGAATAGAATAGAATAGAATTATTTTTATTCATAATAGATTATAGTACATAATACTTATTGAAAGTTATTTTTTACTTTTACCACTGGTTCGCAAAAAAATCCTCTGTCCTGGGAAGAACCAGCAAGAAACCCAGCGGTACTTTTTTTTTAAACCACAATTTACAACAAATATTTTATACAATTATTATGAAAACATTTAGAAAGTATTAGTCATTTTGACATTTTGACTTTGTTTATAGAATTAAGGTGACAAACGAACGCACAGTTATTTTGATGATAATTGGATGCTGTGGCTCATAGACACCTACATTTATTCTCGATTAAGAATCAAAATGCAGATGCATTGTCACCACTGAAGACATAAATGAAATGCCTCGTTTCTAGTAAAAGGGTTCTCTGGTCGATTAAGAATCAAAATGTAGATGCGTTGTCACCCGTGAGGACTAAGATGGAATACTTCTTTTCCAGTAAAAAGGGTCTCCGGTTCTCTACACTTACCATACGAAACACAGTGGCGTTAAGCTGCTATTTTACGCTGGTATTCTGTGAGAGCGTGTTCCTATCCCGTTCGAGTCGACCCATTAATTCTACAATTATACTACTTATATAGCTGCAGCATTACTCTACCACGTGTACACCTATGGATGCGCATACTCTTGGGCACTATAATCCTGTCACGCGCAGATGGCTAGTCTCCGTTGAGACTGGTCGCCGTGATTGATAATCTATCTGGAGGACAATGTTATTGTTATTAAACTTATGTGGTAATACTCTACGTATTATGTCTTCAGCAACAATGGATTGGTTCGCTAAAGGACTACGGGTACTAAGCTATCATAAGGCACAGTGTAACAATGTAAAATATTATAACAGTAATATGTTGCTAGTTTCGTATGGTTTGTTATTTGAATTGGAAATGGGGTCTCATTTAATAGTAAAGCGTTCCACTTTAACCCTCAGGTGTGACAACGCACGTGCAATTTGATTCTTCCTCTAGGATAGGGCCACAGCATTAATTGTATATAAGTGAGATTCTATGCTCGGTTCACAATGGGTAACACGATACAAATAGATTATGATTATGCTGTTGTCAAGGAATAATAATTTGATTTCAATGAGAGTTAATCAGCTGTAATCTACATTAAATAAAAAAATAATTATGCTCTTCAATATTATATCTAGACCCTCAACTAGATTAGTTAAGATCTGGTAAGACGTGTAGAAGTCAATAGATGCAGTTGGCTCGGGACCGTGCTTTGTGGCATTCCTTGGAGGTGGCCTATGTTCAGCAGTGGACTTGTGAAGGGACTGTAATGATAATGATGATTCTATTTCAGCGATTTTGCTTATTTATTTGTTAAGAAGATGTATATTTGCAGAAGTGAAATATAACTACTATTTTCCTTGATAAATGAATATTAATCACTGATAACATTTTTTTGTAGGATAAGGGTGACAAACGAGCACACAGTCCACCTTATGGTAAGTGGTCGCTGTGGCCCATAGACATCTACATCTATCTTCGATTAAGAGTCAAAATGCAGATGCGTTGTCACCCGTGAGGACTAAGATGGAATGCCTCGTTTCCAGTAAAAAGGGTCTCCGGTTCTCTACACTCACCATACGAAACACAGCAGCGTTAAGCTGCTATTTTACGCTGGTATTCTGTGAGAGCGTGGTCCTTCCCCGGTCGAGCCGACCCATTCGTGCTACAACCATAATATAGATGCAGCATGGCTCTACCACGTATATAACATTTTCGCCGAGTGCCAATATTTTGACACAGTAAAACGCGAGGGTTCATCAAAGAAATTTTGTAAATTAGTGTATCTTGTAGATATATAAGTATATTTTTTTATAGAATAAGATTGACAAACGAGTACACAGTCAAACTGATGGTAATTGAATACTGTGGTCCCATAGACATGTACATCTATCCTCGATAAAGAATCAAAATGCAGATGCGTTGTAAACCCTGAGGACTATGATAGAATGCTTCATTGCCAGTAAAAAGGGTCTTGTCATCCCTGAGTGTTAAAATGGAATGTCTCGTTTACAGTAAAAAGGGTCTAATATCCCATTAGTCGCTTGTTAAATAGAAAAAAGGTGACAAATACGCGTACAATCCATCAGAAGATTGGTAGTTGCTGTCGCCCATAGACAACTTTTTTATATATTTTTTTTTATATAGGATAGGGTGACAAACGAGCACACAGTCCACATGATGGTAAAAGGTTGCTGTGGTTCATATACACCTACATTTATCTTCGTCTGCGAATCAAAATGCAGATGAGTTGTCACCCGTGAGGACTAAGATGGAATGCCTTTTTTGCAGTAAAAAGGATCTCCGGTTCTCTACACTCACCATACGAAACACAGCAGTGTTAAACTGCTATTTAACGCTGGTATTCACTACTACTAACTAACCTAACTGCGTCCATTCTCGATTAAGAATCAAAATACAGATGCGTTGTCATCCCAGAGGACCAAGATTTAATACCTCGTTTATAGTAAAAGGGACGTCGCGGTTCTCTACATACACTATACGAAACACAGCACCATTAAGCTGTTATTTCACCCTGGCATTCTATGAGGACGTGGTCCTTACTCGGCTGGATTCTGGAGTTTTAGCGGGATTTTGAACCGTGGAGGATTGCTGCTCTTGTATTATTGTTTAATTAATGGTCTGAAGTGGATTTTGATATGTAAAATTGGTGCGATTTTGTGTATTAAGTGTCTGCGCATGTGAACTATTAGTGGAAATGGTGAAACAAGTGCCCTGATGGTGATGTGATTCTCAAAATAAGGTGTCTGTCTGCTTAGGCGCCTTGAGATACCATCGCCAACTGTCAGCTCTGCTGGCTCAAGTTGCCGTCAAAATCTCCAAAGGGCTGCACAATGTGACGCATGAACAAATTGTGAAGCAGTGTACTATGAAGGATAATTATACATTGTAACTTCAGGCTTAGAAGGGCTAGAACCCAGAGCCGTAAAGCCAGATATAAAAAAATCCCCGGCTGACTCAACCCATTCGTGCTGCAACCATAATGTTCTCCAGACCGAGTTTCAGTTACGGCGGCTCGTTGTAACGGAGACCAGCCATCTGCGTAGGAGAGTATTATAGTGTCCGAGTGTATATGCAAGCACAAGTGCACTCTATATTCCCTCATTCTCATAGTCTAATAGGCGGTTATTCGACACGACCGGAGGGAGATCAGGTGCAGGACCAACGGTTTTACGTGCTTTCCGAGGCACCGGGGTGTAACACCGCCAACTTTTTTTTTATATATTATTCTAAGCCAGCGCTTAAATACAATACCACCTGATAGTAAGTGGTGATGTAGCCGAAGATGGTGAAGCGCACTGAGCAAAAGCCTATACACTCGTGCCTTAAAAACACCCACATTATACGCTGATGGAAACACAGATGCCGGCAACTTATTCCACTCCTTTGCTGTACGCATGAGGAACTGACTTTGGAATGCTACTGAGAATTTCTAGTCAGGAAAACCCTATAATTTATTTTGACCCGACGTGGGATTCGAACCAGGAACCTGAAAATCACCAGTCGCGTCTACGACCACTAGACCAAAGAGCAGTAACCCCATGATATAGCTTCAGCGTGGCTCTACCACGTAAAAATGGTTCAACGATTTAGACGACACAAACTGCCTTTTTTCTTTATTATAAGTTCTCTATAAACATGGGACTTATAAGTCCCGGACTAACATGTGACAACAACAATACCATTTATGACTAGTTACCCGCCCCGGCTTTGCCTGAGTGGGATCAGTTAATGTGACGTCATTTAGATTTAAAAAAATCATCAATGACAATGTAATTATCCAGTTATTCATTTAACTTAGATCACTCCTGACTTTACTCTCTGTCTGTTCGTGAAATTTCATCACAATTAGATTTAGACATTCAGACTAAATCTAATTGTGATGAACTAAACTAGAATTAGATGGACAGACAGACATAACTTTTCCAAGAGGACTGTCTTAACGAAATGCAAATGACCCTCTGAGCATGATGAAAGGCAGTTATTTTTTTGATATTACAGGCAGACTCCTCGCCTGGAGAGGATCTATTAATGTAGCGATATTTTGATTAAAGATAATAAAAAAAAAACATTTATTTTATGAGTTTTGTTTTGCAATAAAAAAAAAACTTCAAATTTTCATAAACAAAAACTATTGGTAAATCCAAATGAGCATGCCTTAAGCGCATTAAAAAAATTGCGTATAACATGATACATAAATTTTTTAAAGTAGTTTAAATGCACACAAGTTTTCACTAATAACCTTATTATTATACTTCCAATTTTCCAATAATTTTATGTCAAATTTCAATTTAAAAAAAGTTTGGAAAATCCAAAAGTGCACGACTCATAATGCTCATATGATTAACATATCATCATTTAGGTAACTCTATAAAGTCCAAGACGTATTTAAATATACTTAAATATATACATTCTACTTACTTTTAGTACGTACTAATATTATTTATTTTGTACTTTTAAAATATTGTAATAAATATCTCTGATTATTATAATAATCAAGTAGGATGTATTAAATTTGGTTTTTGGAATATTTTATATTTTTGTACAGCGATCTTTTTGAGCCGCTACAAACAACCAATACAGTTTACACTCACGACGGCGGTAGACGCCGAACTGAGTGAGGCATGAGGCAGTCAGACTGCTGCAGTCTATTTACAAGAAATAGATTAATACAAGGCTACTAAAACACCGAAAATTTCGACATTTCGTACCCGAAATAAATTAATTATATCTAAACAAAACAAAATTAAACTGCCATTTACATTCCATGGCTTCCCACATAATAGATGAAGAGATTAAAAAATAGATTAAGTTAAACAATTAATATTTTCAAAAGTTATCGTGTTTACCACTCCATGCGGACTCGATAAATCTATACCATAATCAATCAAAACAACTTTTTTTGTTAAAATAGCAATGAATCGATTTAAAAAAAAATATTAATAAGTTCAACAATCATTTATCTTTCTGACAATGTGCTTTTTATATCCTTTATATGTTCAATATGATTGTTAAATACGATTTCATGCGACAAAATCTTGGAATCTTGATTTTTAGTCGCTAGTACAACATACCTACGCACTTTGCGCTTAAGGCATGCAATATAGCCTAGATCAGTCATGGTATTGCTTCCTGTCTGTTCGTAAAGTTTCATCAAAGTCGGTTCAGACATTTCGAAGATTAGTCCGAACAGACAGACAAATAATTGTTTTTTTATAAAAGTTTATGCATATCTTAATTCGATTGCATTCCGCAAATGGTCTCGCGAGCCCGATAAAAGGTAGGTTTGATATTACAGACAGACACCTCTATTTTATTATCATAACGTTAAAATTTGCAGGTGCATCTTAAGCGTTTTATTACTACCTGCTTTCTGTTTGTCAGTTGGACCTTTAAAGGAGTCTCACTGCAAGTTGTTGGATGTGTAATTCATGTAATTAATGCCAATTTATCGCATCCAATTAAATTTAACTGGTGACCATTCATTAAGTAATTTGAAAGGATAATTGGAAGCGTGATTATGTACAGCATATATCAAATGGTTGGCTTTGCAGGGAGATATATAACTTTTTTTTATAGGATAGGGTGACAAACGAGCACACAGTCCACCTGATGGTAAGTGGTTGCTGTGACACATAGACATCTACATCTATCCTCAATAAAGACTCAAAATGCAGATGCGTTATCACCCGTGAGGACTGAGATGGAATGCCTCTTTTCCATTAAAAAGAGTCTCCGGTTCTCTACACTCACTATACGAAACACAGCAGCGTTAAGTTGCTATTTTACGCTGGTATTCTGTGAGAGCTTGGTCCTTCCCCGCTCCGAACTTGACTCCTGTACTAATGTGGTAGAGCCATGCTGTAGCTATACTATGGTTGTAGCGCGAATGGGTCAGCTCGACCGTAGAAGGACCATGTTCTTAGATATTAACAGCGTGAAATAGCAGATTAATGCTGCTGTGTTTCGTATGGTGAGTGTAGAGACCTTGAGACCCTTTTTACTGGAAACAAAGTATTCCGTATTAGTCCTTTTGGGTTGAAAACGCACCAGCGTTCTATTTCTTTATTGTCTTGTTTGTCTAGTGATTGTATACGTAACTGCTGATTGGGCGTAAAAAAATCAGTTACTGAATTTTTCTGTCAATGAATTCTCAGTAGCTGCCCGGAGTCAGGAAGGTGGCGGTGTCTTACTCCCGTGGCACGGAAAACACGAAAAGCCGTTGGCCCTGGGTTCTCCGTTCCTATCGGTTTACCGTCCCATTGTACTATGATAGGGAGGGAATAGAGAGTGCACCTGTACTTGCGCATACACTTGGGCACTATAATCCTGTCCTGCGCTGATGGCTTCTCCGTTGAGGCTGGCTGCCGTGACTGAAATTCGGTCTGAAGAACATTATTTTTATAACAGTGATATAACAGAAATGGTGATATAACAGAATGGCATTTAATAAAGACAATACATAACACTTATTGAAAGTCGATCTTTTGTTTGCTACTGGTTCTTAAAATATGTTTGTATCGGGAAAAATCAGGGGGATGAATTCCTCGACATAAAATTTTACATTAATGGTATACAATTATTTATATAAAATAGTTAACGTAAGAGTTAGTATTTTATAGTATTTAAATATTTCAGTCTATTATTGCTCAATGCCGAATATCTTATTAAACTTGGGGAAATAATTCTCATGGAAATGTATAAAATGTAGCAAATTGTTTAGCGACCGTATTAATTTCATCAAAGAAATGCTGCTACACTTCTACTGGTTATTCTGGTTGAATAATTCCGTTTATTCGCTATTTACCCACAAAAATAATTGCTTTGACCAATCCTTTCAAAAGAAATATGCTTTGATTTTTTTTTATTGTTTTAGGTCCAGAACACACCACACAGAAGGAGACGCGACCCGAGTACATTCATCCAGATGGTCTCCTTAACTTCGATCCTTACTTATCTGATTTCAAACAGGAAGTCGAAGAGGACGACTACATACCTTTGCCAGAGAATGACGAGACTATAGACGGTCTGCCGATCTTCCTTCTAGAACCAAAGAACGCTTATGTGTTAAGAAGTAAACCGGCAACCCTGCTGTGTAGAGCGGCAAATGCATTACAAGTTTATTTTAAATGCAATGATGTTAGAGTTGACAAGACTGTTCAGTTGGAACACGTGGATCCACAGAACGGCGTTAGAGTGGTCGAAGCAGAACTGAACGTGACAAAGAATGAGCTAGATGAATATTTCGGTGGACGATACAGCTGCGAGTGCTACGCGTGGAATAGCAGGGGCCGGATTAGAAGTCAAGCTAATTACATCGAATTTGCTTGTAAGTACTGTTTGCTTTACAGTTTTAGTATATATGTAGCTGTCTAATGGTCACAGCGCAAATGCATCATCATATCCGAATAAGAGGGCTATGCTCGGGGTTTCTCTGCGTGATAAACTTAGAAATGAGGATGTCCGCAGTAGAACCAGAGTAACCGACATAGCCCAACGGATTAGTAAGCTGAAGTGGCAGTGGGTCGGCCATATAGCTCGAAGAACCGACAACCGATGGGGAAGAAAGGTTCTCGATTGGCAGCCTCGTACCGGTAGGTGAAGTGTAGGGCGACCCCCCCACTAGATGGAGTGATGACCTGGTAAGACAAGCAGGAAGTCGATGGATGCAGGTGGCTAAGGACCGTGTTTTGTGGCATTCCTTGGGGGAGGCCTATGTTCAGCAGTGGACATGAAAGGCTGTAATGATGATGATGAATGATGATTCAAGTAAGGATCACAGATAATCCTAGTCTGGGTCCAACAGTTAACTTATGAAGAAGAATAATTTACTAGTGAGTAACTTAAACAAAAGATGTCGCGGTAGTTCGAACCTGTCAGGGAGATATACGATATATCTTCTTCCTGTCCTTATCCCAAAGTACTTGGCGTCGCCATAGCATGTCTTCCTTTTCCTTTCTCCTCTATTGGCTCTCATCTCTCCACTAATTTCTTTCTTACGCATATCACCTTAAACACAGTTCATGCATCTTTTCTTAGACCTCGTATATATTTTTTTATAGAACAAGGGTGACTAACGAGCACACAGGTCACCTGATGGTAAGTGGATGTTGTGGCCCATAGACATTTACATCTATCCACGATTAAAAATCAAAACGCAGATGCGTTGCCACCCCTGAGGACTAAGATGGAATACATCGTTTCCAGTAAAAAGGGCCTCCGGTTCTCTATACTCACCATATGAAACACAGCAAGCAGCATTGAGCTGTTATTTTACGGTGATATTCTGTGAGAGTGTGGTCCTACCCCGGTCGAGCCGACCAATTCTTGCTACAACCATAATATAGCTGCAGCGTGGCTCTACTACGTAAAACAATATTCTTGCACTCTCATGCTAAATGAATGAATGATATTTGTACATGGTATGCAATAATTTATATTTATTTTAAATAAGCTGACGCTTAAAATTGTTGATTTGGACATGGCATAACAACTGTTCAGTCCATTTTGCGCAATTAAAATATATTTCGTCCACTTGACTATTTAAATTATGCTATTAATGGGAATGCGGCCATGTTTCGATTAATAGCACTGGATGCGACGCTCTTTGTTATTATTTATCGCTAGATGATAGAATATTATTTCATGTTCAATTGAGAACATTGGGTTTCAATTGCGATTAATTTCTATTTTCATCTTTTAATATTCGCAACAGTATTAGTGTTATTGACTTCCTTAACCTAAAGAAAGTAATTTGCTTCCTTCAGTGCAGGCAATATGGACAAGAAATAAATATACTTTTTCTGCCGACTTCCAAAAAGGAGACGGTACTCAATTCGAGTGTATGTTTATTTTAATATGTGTTACCTCATGACTTTGTACTGGGGGAACCGATTTCGATGATTCTTTTTTTATATGAAGGCTGATAGTTCTCGTATGGTCCCATATGAATTTGATCAAGGTCAGACCAATAGTTTTTGAGTTATTCTTAAATAACTTATATTGAAATCGCTTATATTGAAGTCACTGTACAAAATTTTTAATTTTAAATTATTGTCTAAAATTCACAAAGGTATTTTTATGCTATGGTGCATATATACCTACATTTATACCGGATTAATTAAAAAGCACACACATAAATATAGTAATAAAGAGGAGACCCTCTCCGTTTCCGGTTCTCGACACTCACCATACGAAACACTATATTTATTTCGCACTGGTATTCTAACCGTTACCGTTACATACTATTAAATTCGACTTCAGAAGATAGGCCTCCCCCATAGATGTCCTTATAGGGGAATAATTGCCATAGTTGCCACGCTTGGCTAGCGGGTTGGCAACTTCATTTTTTTATTTTTTTGTCGTTATTAGGAAGACGTTGCTGTCCATCTCCTGATTGGTATTCTTCTGTCGCCTTTTACGACACTCACGGGATGATATGGAGCGGTGGATAAGTGGTGGTAACTAATTGGTATTCTAAGCGAGCATGACAATGAATATGATAATGAATTATCAGCGTATAGTAACAAATCGCGTCCTAACATAATTATAACTTTTAACAAAAAGTAAAAACCAACTTCAATTTGCTAAAAGAGAAGTTATTCGGTTGCTAACCTTAAGAGTGAAATTTTTCTCCGAATTTTCATGGGACCATCCTTGAAGTATAACCTATTTAATAAAAAAGGATCATCAAAATTGGTTCACAATCTGCGAAAATAAAGCGGAACAACATACAAAAAAAACATACACTCGAATTGAGAACCTGCTCCTTTTTGTAGTCAGTTCGCAACGAGATTCAAATCCAATCCACTATGAATCTTCAACAATATCGCAGAATTGTGGTACAACATACCTGGTTTATCTATAACGGTTAGGTTATAATTTTTAACCTTATAACGTTTTTCTCGTCTCCGTGCCGGTTTTGCTGCAACTTCTATAGATCAATATGCAAATTATATCATTACGGTAACCGCAAGCGCACTCCTGCTTAGCAATGCACTAGGTATATCATTTATTTATGTAAACTGCGCAATTATTGTCATGTTCTTGTATGGCAAATGAACTGTTGAGTAAAACTTTAGGTCGGTTAGTTAACGGTAGTAAGGAATAATTTAACCCAGCTTTATTAATTATGTATGTGGGAATTGACGACCGTCGCTTATACCGAGTTTCTATACTTAGATCGCTTTGTTTTCTTTAACGAGTGCTTTTCCAGTGAATTGAGTGCATGAAAACCCTTCTTTAAAACAAAACACTAGTTCAACTAGGTACTAGGCTGCCTATTTAATAATGTCCTCCAGATCGAACTTCGGTCACGGCGGCCAGCCTCAACGGAGACTAGCCATCGGTGCAGGACAGGATTATAGTGTCCGAGTGTATGCGCAAGCACAGGTGCATTCTCTATTCTCTCAGTCTCATAGTCCGATGGGACGGTAAACCGACACGAGCGGAGAGAGATAAGGCGCAGGACCAACGGCTTTGCGTGCTTTCCGAGGCACGGGGGCGAGACACCGTCAACTTCCTAACTCCGGGCAGCTACTGAGAATTTGTTGATGAAAAAGCTTAATAACTGATTTTTTGGCCCGACCCGGGATTCGAACCCGGGACCTCATGATCAGCAGTCGCACTACTACAACTACTAGACCAAAGAGGCACTCCCTAACGAGGCTACCTATTTATGAACCATTTAAAGATTTTTTTTAAATATTTTAGTTGCTCAACGAATAGTTTGTATTAAAAACTGTTTTTAGCCCCTGACGAAAACAGAGGGGTGTTATATGTTTGTAGTGTGTATCTGTGTATATGTATATCTGTGTATCTGTATGTCCGTGGCATCATAGGTTCTTAACAGATGAACCGATTTGATAAAGTTTTTTTTTTGTTTGTAATTTGCCTTAATCGAGAGTGTTCTTAGTTATGTTTCAAGAAAATCTGTTCAGCCGTTCGCAGATTATCAGCTCTTTTTTGTTTTAGGGGTTCTAAACATTTTATAATTTTTGTTATTATGTGTACTTTCTATGTAATGAAACGAAAAACGAAACGTTTCTTGTATAGGGGAATCGTGCATTAGTGTTCGCCTATAGACCGTGTACTTTGTATAGAAGTAACGGGCCATCGCATTTACTAACCACATTATGGTTAGTAAATGCGATGGCCCGTAGACAGCTACCTCGATTAAGAATCAATATGCAAATTCGTCGCCACCCCCTGAGAAATAAAATAGGATGCCTCATTAAAAGTAAAAAGTGTCTTCGCTTTAAGTCACTCCTCATATAACACATAGCAGTATTATGGTGATATTTCACGCTGATATCCTGTGCGAGTGTTTTCGTTCTTTTATTTTCGACGATTCCTGCTGCAGCCATAATAACACGAAAATTGACTGTACCACGTAAAAAAAGGAAAATATCTACACTTATAACATTATAAAGAGGAAAGATTTGTTTGTTTGTTTGAATTGAATAGGCTCCGAAACTATTGGACCGATTTGAAAAATTCTCTCACCATTAGAATCCTACATTATCCCTGATGAACATAGGCTATATAATATTTTCAAAAAAGTTAGGGATCCGTAGGTAGGTAACTTCGTTAATGTAACCCAAGGTGTGAAAAAATACCAAAAAGAATACTTATATCGCGTACGCTGCGGAAATAATAGAGCAAAGTAATGTACTTCAGTTTTATAGAGGATATCAATATCTATAAAAAAGCCTGGGATACCATTTATTTAACTATTACAGTTATGTCATAATAACTACTTTTTCATGTTAAAATATGAAATAGTAACGCCGGTACAAACTAGGCCACATTATTCGTATCAGTACCTGTACCATGCATAACCACCAATTACGTTAACCATGTAATTTCTAAGTAACATATTTCACATTTTAAATCTTTGTTAATTCAGCAACTGTCCGTCGTGATGTCTCTCTCGAAGTTCCCATGTCGCAAGGCGTAGACGCGTGATATACGCGGGTGAAACCGCGGGGCACAGCTAGTAATAATATATAATAATATTTTTCCGTATCTCGATTCATCATTACAGCCCTAAGTCCACTGCTGAACATAGGCCTCCCCCAAAGAATGCCACAAAGCACGGTCCTGAGCCACCTGCATCCATCGACTTCCTGCATGTCTTACCAGGTCGTCACTCCATCTCGTGGGGGGATGCCCTACACTTCGCCTACCGGTACGAGGCTGCCACTCGAGAACCTTTCTTCCCCATCGGTGGTCGGTTCTTCGAGCTATATGGCCGGCCCACTGCCACTTCAGCTTACTAATCCGTTGGGCTATGTCGGTTACTCTGGTTCTACTGCGGATATCCTCATT